TTCCTCCGAACCAGACTGTCTCATCCACTCCAGCTGAGGATCTATACATTCTTGTGGTATACCATGTGTCTCTAACATTGTCTGGTATATACTTCTTGCTTTTGCCCATAGACTTTTTAGTGCCGAATGCGCGATGTCGCGCCGAGCTAGCCAGTTCTCGTCTTTCCTGCCAGTCGGCATGCGAAATTGGTTCACAGGGTTGATAAAAGAACCGAGTCCCATTTCTGCCGTCAGCATGATGACCAGCTTGTTCAAGACCTGCCATGCTCCTCGGGTTTCTTGGAGAATGTCTGGACCGGGCAAACGGAAGGAGGGTCTGTGAAGATCGAGTAGCTTCATCATACGTGTGATAGCTGCCAATTCGGATATGCATCTTTGAAGCTCCTGGTCTATTCTCTCGGCTTCTCGGCGGGGACAACTGTCGAGAAAGTCGTCAAGATATTGCAATACCGCCGAAGGTTCGAAAACATGTCGCTCATCGAAATTCGACGTCAGCTGATAGAGGCACCAGCCGATGCGATCGTCTCGATGGAGGGTAGTGTAGTCTCTGAGTTCGAGAATCAAAGCGGTTCCCAAAAGTTGCTGCTGGGCAGTACCTGTGACCTTGAAAACCTTCGAGAAAGCTGGAGACCTTATCAGATGTCTTTTCAGGTTTAGCTGATGATAGGGCAAGGATCTCCGCAGCATCATCTCTAAGCTACCGAGCGCTCTCTCATATTCCTTGGGCAGAGGTTTCCCAGGACCAATCTCTGATCCACTCCTTTGCAGTTCTCGCTTAACGTTCTGGCATTCCTCTAATAGCCATTGCCAGTCCCTAGCTTGGAGAATAACTTTGAGTGTCATGATGAAGCCAATATTATCAAACTTCTCCTTCGCTGTGAGGTTTGGCCGATGCGGTCCCTTCTCTATCTTGTCGAACCATGTTGCTTCGTGGTATCTGGAGCGCTTATAAAAGTACTCTAAGTCTGTTTGCAGAAGCCATAGCTCGTCTTGTGCTTCATCTGCCTGATTTTCAGCTATGTCAATCATTGTGTCAATGTTGAAAGCGGGGGCAGCAGAGTAGGGTTGGTTGGAAAACATTGCTCCGAATGACAGCCAGGGCTGATCTTTCTTCTGGTCGGCGTTCAGAAACTGCGACCATTCCGTGCAGACCTCGAGGCCACGAGGGGCGATAGCATCCGTAGCAGGATCTGTGGAGATGACTTTGGCGGGCGTTTTTAGTGACTTCGAAGGTTTTGCGCCGTCTAGAATGACCGTAGTCAAATCACGCAAGAACTTCAACAGAGTTTGCTGTGACTCTAGGATCATCAAAGCTCTAGGCGCCCCACATGCATCATTGCGATGCACCGCAATGGAGTCGAACGTGGACCATTGGCCAAACTGGTCACCATGCATCACGATGCACCCATCGGCGGACTTCTCTGCAAGAGTGCACTGTTTCCATCCCGACCACAGCATTGCATAATCAAATGGCACCCACTCTTCTGGAAGGCAGTTGGTCCGGTGAGTTAGGAGGCCGAGGAGTTTCGTAGGGTCTCCTGACAAGTCATCCACATTGAGGTACGGCAACATGTAACCCATGCGATACTCTCTCTGGTGCCTTAGCTGCTCCACGCGTGATGGGATGTCGACGAGTGGGTTACGGTTTCGATACAAATCTGGCTTGGCCTTCTCTAAGAACGCTTTGCGCTTTCCAACTCCCGCGCGCCATCTGTTGAGAATGGATAGCCCAGATTCCGAGATCTTTCGACGGAGAAACGCGCGATCGACTTCAATAGAGCGGGAGTAGCTTTTGGCAAGCGAGACAGCGTCCTTTACATGGCCGAGGTAAACGAAAGGGATGAGATCTTGCTGATCGAGTGTCCTGTACTGACGAAGGCAGTGGCTGCACTCACAAGGAGGCTTGAAGTTCATTTCTCGCATGACCGCAGCCATTTGATCCCTCGCTCTGACTACTTCCGGGTCAGAGTAGTCAATGGCCTCACCCCTGGCCTTGGTGACATTTCTGGTAGCCATAGTCAATCGCCCCAAGGCTGAGGCTTATGGGACCACAAATATCTGAATGTGACGTGAAGTCTGAACCAATGTAGTTGACGGCTCGAAGATTTGAGTCTTGTTTGATGCGAAGTAAGTCTGGCAAAATGAAACGTCTGTTCGAAGGTCGCCTTTGTATGAGATTAGCAATTTGTGAGGCTGAAGAGGCTAGTAAGAAGAAAATTTAGGAGGGAATGCCCTGTTTCCTGAAGGATGCGAGGGGAAAGAAGTGATGAGCTCAACTTGCCTTGCTGGATCTCACAATGGTCAAGCCCCGGGTGGCCAAAGTGAGTCGGTTTCACTTTGATGGATGCCCGAAAGTCCAAAGAGATATTTTACAAATAGGCAGATGAGCTTTGAAGGCAATGATTTGAGGAGTGAGTGGTGAGAATGCGAAGGAAACGTTCAATGGCATTGAGGTCTTGGCATCAAACACTTCACTTATGAAGATTTGTGATTGGTCAAAGAAACACGCCGCTCATTTCCATTCGAGTGACAGAATAGCATTCTCAACTAGTGGTCATGTGTGGCACAGAGGGGATACAGCAGACAACGACCTCCTTTGCTGATGAGAATTCGATGTATTTTGCTACCAATAACACTACTGTTGCCTACCGCTCTTGTGGTAATCACAGCTCTGAGAGTGGCAGCTCCAACGGCGACATTGATGCAACCAAGGCTTGTTACAGCAACTGAACGCTCACCGACGCCCCCTTTCGTGTCCTACGGCAAATGGAGGTTGATTTTCAATACCATACCTCACCCCAGAAGGCTTTAACGGTAGAGATATCGTGAACATTACCCTGTTGCAAGGTTTGCACGAGTCAAAATTAACGACTATCTGTACAAGTTCTTACGTCAAACCTTTCCCGCCTTGTCACTTTTTGGACATGCCTATTTATATTCGGCGGAAGATCTACGAGCTCATTGTTGGTGACAACCAGAGAGTTCAGATCAAAAGCGACCTTGAAGACTTCATTCCGAGAAGTATCATTCCTTGCAGTGATCACGGTTCTGCTGGATGCCTCCTAGAAATCTACCTCCATGAGTACGTTCCACAGTCACATTGCTGGGGCACGGGAAACTTCTCTCATATGCGTTGCGCAAGCTCTGAAGCCAAGCACGCCGATCGTCAACCACAGCTATCTTACATGACATGCGGACTGGCAAGCAGCAAATTGCTACCAACGTTACCTCTGAAGACCAGTTCGCAATGTGTCATGATCCATCCATCCGTGCCGTGTGCAAGACTCGAGGCTTTGGAAGACTTGCCGACAGATCTGCGACGAGGAGCGCTCCTTCCTATACCACAGCAACACATTCATGTTCTTGGCTTTCGCCGCTTTTGCCGTTTACTTCGGGCTCATCGCCCCAAATCAAGCGTACGTACATCGCTCAATCGACAACAGACTGCGCGCCATCCAGGCCATGACCAAAGTAGAGCTCCACGGCCGCTTCGGCGGCACATTCTCTCCGGGTTTTCTCTCGGCCAGCCGTCTCATCTGAACGGGACTCGGTTGCCTCACAAGCCTCGAGCTGAACCTCGAAGATTGTGCCGACAGAGAGAAGCTACCACACTGGAAGATTGACGACTGCATGTTCAACCAGCCATCATCGTTGAAGAAGGTAGTAGTTGATGTGCAGACTTTCATACCGCGGAGCCTCATTACTGAAGACCAAATACTGACTACCGAAAAGGAAGATCTTAACAAGGCAGAGGAAATCATGCGTCGAATTTGAAAAGATGAGCAACTTTGTAACACGACAGAGCAATTCCTCGGCTAAGATAGGACGGCTGCTTTTAAGGTCACCGATGCAAAGATGGAAGGGTTCTTAGCACGGAAATGAAGGCTTGTATGGATCGGAATGGAGGATTGCTGGTACGGACTGACCAAAGAGATCCTTGACGAAGAAGCCATCTAGAGTGCTATTATTCGTTTCTGTCCAGGGAGTATGGCGCGGGAGTACAATGTTCGGATTATGGCACCCTAAGCCATCGTGATACTCAGGAGACTACTACGAAAGGAAAGCACAAACTCGCTGAAAAGCTCATTGAGCCAATTTTGAAGAAGGATGGACTTCATAATGAGAAGGCAACATTTCTTGGACCCGTGTGAAGTGGAATCGGTGACTGTTGGTGAAGCTTGAAAAGTAGATGCGCAATGGCTCGTGAGATGGATATGGAAGGGTTCCTAAAATGAGATTTCAGGATGGATCCTCACCGGAGAAGCTGCGTGGAGCGCGGTGGTTCAATTCGTGCTAGTGATGGTTCTTCATATATACTTCGAGGTTGCTTGAGTGGAATGTGGCCGATGAGCCGTCTCGAAGACGCCTAAAGTCACATCTTTCAGATTGAATTCGTTATGTCTAAAAATCAAAACCGAACGCCAACCGTTTATCCACTTAAGAGATACAATCCACACAGCTCCCGTCGACATAGACCCCATTTCCCTTCCACTGCACCCTCCTGAACTCCTCCGCCTACGTGTCTTCCCCCTCAAACACCAACATGCTCCACACAATGAGTCATTCCCCTCCAAATCCACAGCAACATATCGATCAACATGGAATTGGTACCCCGCCAGCCAAGCCTTTTCCGACAGCGACATCGAAGTCGCCAAGTCACGATCTGGTAAGAGCGAACGGGTTGATCTCATGAGGGCACAACCTCCGGATTTTGGGGCCCGTTTCGCGAGCGTGCCTCGATGGCTGTACGTAGGATTCCCAAACATTCCTCTCGCACTAGCGCCAGGGCATCATTGTCCGCCTGTGACAACCAATCCCGTGGCCCACTTTCCTTTACCAGAGCAAGCACATCCCGGTCTAAATCAACATCGGGATGTGCGCACAAGAGCTTCACAACCGCTGTTCGACCAACCATGACCGCAATTGCAAGGGGAGATATTCCCCGAATCTCTTTCGCGTTTACGTCGATGTCGGAATGAGATAGCAGGAGCTTCACCACTGCTTCGTAGCCTGCACGTACCGCATGCAAGAGCGGAGTCAACCCCCGTCTGTCTTGCGTGTTCACTTCAATGTCGGAACGACCTAGTAACATCTCTACTATGCCCTTGTGACCGGAGGATGCAGCGCTTGCGAGAGGTGTGTCTCCCTGAATATCCTTCGAATTGATCTGGACGTTCTTGTGTTTGAGCAGCTGTGTGACTACATCCGCTCTCCCAAACGAAGCTGCAAACCACAAGGGCGTCCCGCCTGCATTGCATCTTGAATTTACTTCAATATCTCTTCGTGTCAGTAGCAGTTCAACAACTGTACTATGTCCTTCTCGTGCGGCTGATGATAGCGGAGATTCACCATCGGGACGTGGCAAGTTCACGTCCACGTCTTCACGCTCAATCAAAAGCTTCACTGTTTCATCTTTGCCCGCTTTTGCAGCAATGCCCAGTGGTGTCTCAGTATAACTTAGACGCCCGTACTGAGTAAAATGGCCGCGGTTGTTCACATTGACATGGTTCTGTGACAGTAACAATTCCACCACGCCGTGATGTCCTTGTGATGCCGCCCACCACAACGGTGTCCGGCGAGTAGAGTCCTCGGCATCTGCCTCGAAACCGTGATTCAGAAGCTCTGAGATCATTCCTTCATAACCGAAATATGCGATAATGTGCATTGCAGAAAGTGGGCTGCGCGACATAGTCCCATTCATATCTCGAACGATGTTATATCGGCTCTCTAGCACCAATAGCACTTGGCCGGCACTCGAGACTCTACAATCATCTTTGGCGAAGCTCATCATGAGTATTTTGACGTTCTGCTCCTTACACAATCTTGCATGGATTGCCCAATACCTAGCGGCGTATTCGAGAAAAGGATATTTCTGCAACCGAGCTGCTACAGATTTTCTACATTTCTCATTGGCTGTCTCTTCTCTATTCCTGAGGGTATCTTCGTCTCTGTTTCCTTCGGCAAACTCTTTTTGTCCTACTTCGTTGGCCCAGCCATCTTTAAAATTCTCGTAAAGCAAATAGGTAAGACAGCCTATCGCAATGTCCTGCTTGGCAAAGGCTAGGACTCTGTCACCGTTTCGCCTGAAGTATTCCTGGGTGGTGTAGTGGACCAGTCTGATGATCTGCGTTTCTTCGTCGACGATAATCAAGCCGGCACAGAAACCCAGAACTTCCTCGATGTCGCCCAGATTATCTTCATCAAACTCTCGCGTCCCAGGCTCGATTGCCAAGGCATGTTGTACTTCTTTTACCGTCATCAGCCTCTCCGAATAGGTAAGCCAACCCAGTAGCTGTTTGGCAAGAAGTCTGAAACCTTCCATTTGGTTCTCAATTCTCTGCATTGCTCCATCGTAGGCCAGATCGAGAGCGTTCGATCCTTTTGGCAGTATTTCCAGCGCTTTCTTGATCAGCTTAGAGCTTGTTTTGTCCTTAAGCGAGTCCATGTGTAGCTGAGCCAGAAGAAACCTTGCTCAATCCATCAGCAGAACTCGCACGCAGATGGCAAGCCAGCAACTTACATTCCCTCGACCGAGTCAACTATAGCAGTCGCTATGTCCTCCTGTAAGCCCAAATTCTCCCTCACACATTTTGGCAGATCCGAAGTGTGCCCCTCCACGTATCTCCGTACATCTTCTGGGCTGGCCCGAACATCCATACATAGAGGATGGTGGAAGTCCAGAGCCAGAGAAGGGATGTAACGCGACGTCGTCATCAGATTGAAGTGATGAAGATCCTGCAGAGGACGTAGGCATCCGATTAAGGTCTGACGAACTTGACCAGCGTTCCCTAACTCATCGAGGGCATCCAATATAACATAAACCCGCGACAAACGTGCCATCGAGGATCCTGTCATCTCTAACACCTCTTCAAATGTAGGTCGAGTCCCCAATTTTGTGGTGGTGCTGGTACATCTTTAAAATGTTTTCCGGAATCAAATCTTGGTGCTGCGAGCAGCTGCTTTGTTACGCTTGCTGTAAGGTTGATGGGTGTCTGTTCATCTTGTCTTTTGTAGTCGCAATATATGTAGGCGGTTACAACGTTCTCCTCGTTACCGGAAAATTGCTGCAGGCGATCTATGACAAGCGATGCTAACATAGTCTTGCCTGCTGATAGTCAGTCTCAACGTTTTTTTGCGAGATCTTGGCACTGTCAAGACTACTAACCAGCACCTGGCATCCCTTGGCAGACCAGAGTCTGTCCCTCTTTGCTCACCCATTCTTGGAATTCATGAGACCCCAAAAGCCATGAACCTGTCTCTTTTTGCCGCCTATTAGATAAGTCACTTTGCTGTGGGGCAAAGTTGAGAGGTGAGAGCCATTGCAACACCTCGTTCCGCTCTTGTTGGTTCTGGCTTAGTCTTAGATTCTGAGTGTTTTCAATTATAGAGTCGATCTTTTGGTTTGTCGCTCGGGACGCTTGACTGGGTAAGAGTGAGCTGATACAGAACTTTTCATATTCGCGATATCGGATATATCAAGATGCAGTTTTCTTTTAGCAGATAACACTCACCTTGCAAGACTAGTGTTGAAGGCATTCAGAAACGTTGTGCTAGAGATCATGCGATCTCGCAGCTCATTGACGGTAGCAGAGTCCCATTTCAACTTTCTCAAAGCCTTCTGAGTCCTGGAGCTCACGCCAGAAGACTCGGTACCCAAGCTCTCGTTCTTCCGTATCAGCTTCTCAGTGTCATGGAGGACGCCACGACAACCTGCAATCAGGACTGAGAGATCGTTGGCCTGCTTATCAGTAAGCTGGATTCCAGAGAGGTTGTTCGCAATGTCATCGAGGACGCGGTGAAGACCAAAGACGCTGGACTTGATTAGTCAGTCTATTCCTGAACTAGTGACAGTCAAGGTATACTCTGTTTGGATGGCATTGAATTGATCGGAAGCGTCGCGAAACCTGCCCCAGATAGTACGTGCCAGAGTCGAGACCTCTATGATATCACCGACACCGTAGCCAAAAGACATGCCTGCTGCTATTCCACCCCTGTAGAGAGTGAGAAGAAGATAATAGAGAATTTCCCTCAAAGGCGATAAAGTCGTGTGGAGTATGAAGAGGAATGAACAAGATAGAAATTGGGGGTGCGCGGTGGCCTCAACCTGCTCCGCCTGCTCAGCCTTGCCCATGTTGCGAGGCCAATGCAGGCTGACATATCGCCAAGACGCTAGCCACTTTGAGACCCAGTCTGGTCAAATTCCCTCAGCAATGATGCTGTTGTTGTTGAATAGACGTAGTGCTACAAGTCTACTAAGTAGTAGCACACTTGCTATAGGGTTAACCGCAGATATGCCAATAGTCCCCGTGAAACTCGTCGTTGCTAGAGAGTAATTCACACCTTACGGGTTCCCCCTTTGAAACGAAGCAATTGAGTCATCTTGGCCCAAAGCCCAGCTATATTCACAGATCACCTATCAGCACCAAGTTTCAGGTCTACTCTCTACACATGTTCAATCTCTTCCTGCTGCAAACATGGACTTCCTACCGTAGTAATGCGGGCATCAGCGTATAAAGTATGCCGTATGAAGGTCTACTACTCGTTACCCATGTCCCAGAAGCCCGTCTCCATCTGCTTCAACAATTAGCAATCAACCAGCCAGGCGTATCAGAAAAGCACATCCACAGACCTTAGTAGCATGTATGAATATCTTCACCAGCGACTCAATCTGGCTCGGTGACTGCAGCGAGGCATGCTGTTCCAATATCGCTGCCAATCACTCACCCATTAGCCTCGGCCGAATGATGAACAACACAGCACTCTATCAGATAGGTATATGCACCTTCCCCTGCTTCAACCGCCGCCCGATAGTCATCCGCCACATAATTCTGTATCCACTTCCAGTACCGATTGCCCTGCTCTTTCACGGTTTCCGGGTCGTCCCACAACCTTCTTGCGATGATGCCGTAGCCCAGAAGGCAAGGCGCGAAAGCCATTTGTAGCGCGAACCAGCTTTCGGAGTGCGCTATGTCGAGGACGTAGCGGGTGTAGGCTGTGCAAGCTGTGGAACATGAGCTCGTCCATGCTTTTGTTGACAGAGTCAAGAGAGGAATGGTTGATTACCTTGATGTTCTTCCTGTTTCTCAACCTCTTTCTTCGAGAGTCCGAATTCGGCGCAGTAGTCTAGGTGGAGGGACATTTCGCGTTGGATATGGAGGATTTCTTCTGCGCCCTGGATTGAGATTAGGGCTGTCATTTCAGAATTGGAATCGTGGTGGAGCAAAGGATACACATACCGCAGCAATGTCTTCCATCGAATTCGTCTTGTACGCGCTGAGAGCTTTGGCTCTTGCGAATTGCACCAGGAATAGGTAATCCTGGGCGAGATACCCCTTGAACTTCTCAACGGGCAACGTCCCATCGCCAATGCGCTTCACGAAATCATGGTGGACGTGAGCATGCCACACGGGTTTCACATCCTCGCGGTTCAGGAGGTATTCGATGAAGTATCTCCTAATTAACATCTGTCAACATCAAGCGAGGAAGCCAGCTACCAGTGGTGAAAGGGAAAAGAGCGTACGGAGAGAACGGAAGAGTATATGTAGAGTGGAAGTAGTCGATCAGGCCCTTTCCCTTGCTAATCCCAGCCTCGACATATCGGCACGCCTTCCGAGTGGCCAACGGCACGGCGTCCCCGAGGACGAGATTCGAAGCGATTGCAGCTGAGGAAATCAATATTTGGGGTGCTCATAGTCTCTGAAGTCGACAACATACAAGCAAAAGCATATTCAACCCCCAGCGGAAGACTCGCACCGACATATGCCGTCTTGATGAGGCTGACATCCGTTCCATCGTAGAGAACGTCTACAATAACCTGCTTATCAGAGTCGTGTTTCGGGACGTCGAGATTCCCAGTCAGAGGCAATTGGCCCCCTTTCAACAAAACAAAATCCGGTCCGAGACTATACAGTGCTTTAGCAAGCTGAGTGAGGTCGTCCAGACTGCGGACATCCGGTTGGTGAAGAGCTCCGGCCTTATCCAATAGCAGTACTGCCTCTGAAATGCTTAGCGTCAATACCGTGGTCAGCGGGAGTAATTGCGTGTGGATAATATGCACTGCCTCATCTGACAGGAGCCGCGTTCCGCTCATAGACACCACGACCTACACTCGTGTAAGCCCGAGGCTGACAGAAAGGCGTAGAAGCTAGCCATCGTACGGGATCGACGACCACGAATCTCGGGCCATGGCGTCTCAAAGCGTCGACTACGATCTGGACAATTTCTGCCGAAGCCAAAAAGCCTAGGCGAGAAACAGTATCAGATTCTCGCTACAGACAGCTTTCAAGACAAGGGATCAATACCAATTTTGACGACCTCCACCCCACCACCATCGAAGCAGCCGTCAATCGCCGCCTTCACAAATGCCACGGATGGACTACACGTTTCAAGAACGTCCCCAGGACCATGCGCTGTCAAAGCAGTCGTCGCGGTGACGGCATAGCATCCGTGAGCGGCGATGACTTTCTGATCGGCTTCGAGGCCGCTGTCCAATGCGGTGGTGCTTCAGCAACAAGCAGCAGCAGCATCGGGAGCTCAAGGGATGCTTACCTTACACCAGAACTATCAGAGTCTGCTATGACGAGGATACGTTTTTGAGACATGGTGTGTCCAAGGGGTGGGTTACAGCTCGGTAAAGTAGGCGTGGAGAAAGGTTCCGCGCGGGTGAGGCCCGAGCAATTGCCGAAATATCTCCTCGGAAAGGCCCCGCACAGGTAGAAGCGTGACGAATTTTTCGGCCTGGAAACAAAAAGGTTTCCGACCCACCACCATCCCTAACAAAGGGAAAATATCCGGATTTTATCCCTGATAGAGACCGTTGCATACCGTATGCCGTGCAGATGCTGAAGTCTAGAAGGGTTTCAGAGGCGCTCGACGCAGTCGCCCCCCGGGAGGCGCGCCGGAGGCGTTAGGGGCTAGGGGAGTTAGGGCTGGAAAAGGGACATATGTGCAGAGCGCGTCTGGGAGTACCCTAAGCTACAACAGATACTCGGTACATGCTGAGTGTTTGGGCCTTCACTCCTACGCAGTCGCATATGTATGCTGGATATACACACCCCATGCCGAGCCGTAAGTCCGTGGAAGGGGACGGGGTCTGGAAGCTTTGATGGATCGTTGGTGGGTGGATCGGGTGTTATGAAAATGGAACCGCACTGCACTGAGGGAGGGAGGGGTCCGGGAATCGCGGAAAATGTATTTTCTACGTCCTTTGATGACTCGACAACGAGAGCCTTGATGACAGAATTTTCGATTCATGAAGTATTCTGATCGACTAGCTATAGATCTTTTCTACCAAAAGTATGAGCGCATGTTAAACCGTTGAAGAATGATCTGACTCCAAAATTTCGCCTCTGTGCATTTTATTCTGAAGAGGGCGAGCCGAGTAAGGGCAGCTTCAGACGTGCTATCTGCCACCTCGCTAGTCGACCCTAATGTGGTGGCCTTCGAATTTTGCCGGAAACAACTTGGCCGGTCGCCGACACTAGCTATCTAGACTCGGCCTAGGATCTAGCGGCGGAGGCGAAATATCTATAGGTTGCGAATCTGAAGCTAGGAGTAAGGCGGTGCTGGAAGCGGGATGGATGATGGGTCGGGCCTCGTTGAGATTGTGCTGGATCGGGGGGGTGCCTTTGCGATGGGAGTTACCGGTTGACTGGGTAAGCGAGCAAGAGGGTGCGGAATAGTTATTTCAATGCGGGATTGGAAATGATGGGATTGGTGGCGTCATCAGGATGCGTTTTGTGAAGAAAAAAGGTATTTGTTACTGCTGTGTACGAATCTTATGTACGAATCTTCCGTATCAGTGCGTCTCGGAAGACTCTAGCACGGCATGTTTTACCTGCCACATCATGTGCCGCCGCTTGAGCGTGGTAGGAGCATGGAGTTTCTAGCCCCGTTAATGATGATTAAAGCTTGTTCGGGCTGCCACGACAAGATAAAAAACATCCATCCTAACCGGTAGCCTGTATGCCATTGCGCCACGAGAATGATCAATGAGGTCTAGAGCCTCGTGGCCCGTGGAAAGCCGGTTCGCGGGGATGGGGCGTGGAGGGATCCCCGGTGTGTGTGGGGAGGCGTGTGGGTTGCAGGATAGCCCTAGATTTATCAACCACGCAACTGCAGCCGAGCCAGCCAGAACCTTGACGACGAAGATGGGAGGGGAGACACCAACTTGCCGCTCACTGTCGCTGGTTGAATCGAAAACCAGGCGGGACAGTGGAAGAAACCATCGATTTGGCTCTTCAGCCACTGCAAGGGAGTATGAGGATGTGAGCCATTGGTAGAAATCACCAAACATAGGAAACCACAACATTGGCATGAGCGGCGGCATGTCGGGATGCCTGAATGCGGGTTTCTCGAAGCTTTCGCAGTTGTAGATGAGAATCATCGTGGACGACAAATACTGAATAGTTTAGCTGTCGCAGAGCATAGAGTGTAGCCACAGCGGGAACCTTCTCGGAGGAAAATTGTTGGAACACCCTGCTTAGTTCTCAGGTAAGGGAGATTTCATCCCGCAACAGCTTGCTCAAAAGCGGAAAGTATCGGAACCGATAGAAAGGCCCTACTCTACCCGCCATCGAAGACAAGCGCAGCTGCCATGTTGCCTGCAATTTTTTTGGGAAATTGACAGTGCAGGTGAGCGCTCGCGCTCGTGCAAGTGCAGCCGACCGTTGTTACCAACCCAGCTCTTTATGCAGCGCTTATCGGCGTTACTCGTCCGACAATCTAGCCTCAAAGGACTCATATTGCGAGACGATAGCGAAATGCAAATGGCTGCTTGTGCATGGCGTCGAAGTTGCGGTTGCAGATGTGCATGTACACAGCGCCAGACATCCCATAGGGCTAGATTCCATGTACGAATGAAAGGCTCTGGGCATTCTGAACCGTTTCGTCCAGTTAACACATTAGCAGAGAGGACGATCGACCAATCAGTCGACAGCGGCTGGAGCGGTGGGTCCCTCACTGAAGAATGCGACGAAGCAGCGAGGTAGAGAATACAAGACCGCAACACTCACCGTCATCTGGAAACATGAAACGTATTCAGTGGTACAGAGAATGTATGGAATATGTACTGTGCGCCTATGCTCTGTGAGCCATCTCATGCGACAGATCCAGCCAGATAAGTCGCAGCGTTGGCGAAATTCGCCCAGACATACGATAACTCGAAGGGGATGTAGACACCGTGGAGTCTTGCCAGGCGTGTGAAAGCATTGAGGGGCATCGTATTCAAGGGCATCGAATCAGAGGGCATCGAATCAAAGGGCGCACTTTGGATGAAGTTCACGAGTACCGGTTAAAGCAGCCAGGCGATTCGCAGCGATTCTCCAAACCCTGCTTCATGCAAGTAAAAGCGGGGTTGATCCTCGTATTTGCAGTAGCAAGCTGCAGACCTGCAGAATCTATTGCGAAAAATCATGCAGCGGAGAAAGTCGGGTCGCACCCACCGGAGAATTTGCTGGCCGTGCGGACCAGGGTCAGCAGAATCTGGCGGCAATGATGAATGGACGCCACTTCGGTTTTATCGCGGCCAGTTCAATCCATCCGCTTGCCAGAGTACGTTGTGAAGTCATGGAAGGAGAGACACAATCCGACCCTACATGAGACGACCAACGGTAGGAGTTCGCCGCCAGCGGATCATAGGCTCGGTTGCGCACTTGAAAGGAAGAGGCACACGCTTGCGTGCATCCTGCCCAACGAAAACCAGGATGGCATTATTTTTCGCGGACTTTGTCGCCGACGACCGAGAGCTTTTTTCGCAGGCCACAAATTTGGCGGACTCGGTGGGAGTGGGAGAATTACAAAATACGAGTTGATGTAGTCCCTGCATGGTGGTTCACTTGTGCATGCTTCCCAAGGCTCGAGGTACCTCGTAGTAACCGTACCACAGCAACATCGGGGACATGCCACGTCAATCAAGTACGTACCATGTGGAATGTGGAAAGTAGTAGATAGCTTGAGTAGTAGTGTACGTGCAGGTGAATTTTGAGACCAATGAATTGAATTGCCTCTGAAGTCTGAATTTGCCTCGATGATGCGGACCAGAAGAATCGATAAGCCAAAGAAAGTACTTTACAGTATTTTTAGAGTACCGGTTTCACCGTTTGCTTTCATCCCGAAGTAGATGACGCTAAGAGAGGATTGATCCCTGTCCCGCATTAGCGGTAATCTACCAAGCGGCTATCATAACGCTTGTGAAATTTGAAAACGTCATATTGCTTTCCACTTCATCCAGGCTGTCTTTTGCCTGGCTGAAACGCAGTTTAGTCGATTACGCTTTTCGGATGCTCTCACATCCCCTTTCATCCCCTTCGAGCGTTACAGGTAGCCACAGGCGGGCAACGATCGACATCAAGTGCTGCCGACCAAAGCCAACAAGCACAGATCCGCCCAGACTGCCGACCAATCAGGCCTAGATCGTGCCCAGAGTCTTGCTCAATGGAGGTCCACGAGCCTATGGGTGATCGGTAGTCTGCCAGTATCTGTCAATCTTTTTCCAAGACAAATCGTATTCCATATCCACCATCTCAGCCCAGTGTTTGATACATCCTAGCCTCGCCATGCTCCCATATCTCCCCTTCCCTGTCCTGCCCTACTTTATCTTGCTCATCTCTTAAATCCTTCATTCCCCCTCCAAGCGAGCTTCTTTCCTTGGGTACCTCTGTCTCGTTTGTCTACAGAACTTCACATCTTCCTATTCTTTCATTCGTCAACCCACACTCGTTCATCATGGAGATGCACCGCCGTAACCAAGACCCTTTCGACGGGGGCCTCCCAAGCTCGGGAAACAGCATCTACTCACCAGATCAGACACCACAGCAGACCCCATACCGACGTCGCTCTCTCGAGACCGCAAGCAACACTGGCAGTGACAGCATCAATCCCGCCCCAAGGAACCCTTTCAACGCAACACCTTTGGGCACCTCGAAGAATTCTTCGGCCATTCATATCCATCAACAAAAGCAAAATCAAAAATACTTTCGCTCTCGGCGAGTGAAGAAGGGCGAGGTCGACCATCCCTGGAAGGCAACCAAGGACCCCAGGGAGAAATGGGTCACCATCATTCCTTTGATCGGGCTTGCTTTGGGCTTTCTCGTCGCTGGGTACCTTGTCTACAACGGTCTCAGCACCATTGTCAATCACACCTACACACTCGTGCTCGACGAGGATTGGAGCAAGGGCTTCAATACCGATGTCTGGACCAAGGAAGTGAACCTCGGAGGCTTTGGGTACGCTGCAATGTCTAAAGCTCAGCACCTTCTTTCTGGCTTGCTGACAGTGTTCTTAGAAACGGCGAATTCGAACAGACTACCGGCACGGAAGAAAATGTCATGATCGAGAATGGCAAGCTCATCATCAAGCCTACCCTTCAAGACGAGACCCTCCTCACCACAAACAACAACCTGACCCTTCCGGACTGCACTTCGACCCAATACTACGACTGCAACGCTGCCACCAACGTCACTAACGGCACCATTGTCCCTCCAGTCAAATCCGGCCGCATCAACACCCTCAAAGGTGCAACCATCAAATACGGTCGTGTCGAAGTTGTAGCTACAATGCCAGAGGGCGACTGGCTTTGGCCCGCCATCTGGATGTTGCCTGTCAACAACACATTCGGCGCTTGGCCCGCATCTGGTGAAATCGATATCGCTGAGTCCCGAGGCAACAACTACAGCTACGCTACTGGCGGAAACAACATCGTCACTAGCACTCTCCACTGGGGTCCCGACCAGAAGGATGACGGGTATTGGCGCACCAGCAAGAAGCAATCAGCTCTTCATACTACTTACGCCGCCGGTCAGCATACCTATGGTTTGGAATGGAGCGAAAAATACCTTTTCACCTACATAGATACCCGTCTCCTGCAGATCCTCTACAACCCTTTCAATGAGTATCTCTGGACCCGTGGACAGTTCCCTCTGTCCAACTCCAACGGCACCACGCTCACCAACCCTTGGGTCAACGACCCCAACTTGAACGCGCCCTTTGATCAAGAGTTTTACCTAATCATCAATTTGGCCGTTGGAGGTACGAATGGGTGGTTCAAGGACGGCGCGGCCGGCAAGCCGTGGGTGGACAAGTCGAAGACTGCGCCCAAAGATTTCTTGGCTGGCAAGGATCAGTGGTATCCAACCTGGAAGCCTGAGACGGCCCAACTTACCATCTCGTCTGTGAAGATGTGGCAACAAGTCGACGATAAGCCGAATGTCGGCAAATAAACCCGTCGCCCTCGATACCCTCGCATTTTCGGCTTCATTTTATGGCGTTTCACAGCGGCCAAGCAGGCGGAGGAGTTTTCGGCGACATTCTGCTACGCTTGGTTTTATCCATGGCTTACTCCAAAGCGTTGAAGATCTGTTTCGGCTATGGTAGCTGGCTTTGATGCAAGTTACTGGTATATAGATGGGGAGGCAGTTTTAATGATGGATACATATATAGACGGACGACACTCTCGGATCAGGGCGACAAGCTTGTCGTCGCTGCTAACTCTACACAATACCTAATATCAACTACTGCCTTCACAGGTCACAACATGTCTGCCATCTATCTGCCTTCTATTTCCCGACTATCTGTTATTTCCTCATTCCCATTTCCTTATCTTTATCCAGTCTATCACTCTCGATAGGATGAATGTGCCGCCTTTTTCCTCGTTATCTCTGCAATCTGGATCACCAACTAGGTCAGGTATGACATCGGAAAGATCTATTTCGAGAACCAACAGACTGGTACTAGTCTTTACCCTTCCCAAATCCATGGCGTTTCACGCCCTTGCCTAGTCACGTTCTGGCCCACCGTCTCCCCTGTCAAGCCTCTGGCGCTGGTCTCCCGTCCCATCTAGAGGTCGCAAGCTACTCCTGAAGCAGTGGGCGCATCCAAAACAGGGAAGACTTCAACCTTTCCAACATTGAGTGGCTGGTGAGGATTCGGTAGCGATGTGCACAAACAGGCGATGCATGCTCTTCCGGTTTTGGATAGGACGTTGCTCCGAAAGCCGCTATTCGCGCCTCGGAAACAATTCGACCTAGATTAGCACCGTTGGACTTGGGCGAAAAGGATGTGGTAATTTGATGCTGACGTTGCAGCTGGGCTTTCATCTCCACATGGCCTGATCAATCATGGGATTATTGACCACGGCTTTCACAGGATCTACCAGGGTCTCAGGAAGTGGAGACGCTCCAAGCAAGGGGAAAGAGCAGAAAAGGGCCTTATGTTGAATCGGTGGCTCCCGGGTATTATCAAGCTCACAGAGGTGGTGCATCGATTATTCACGTCAGAAAGAATTGATTACCCGGGCCAACCTTGTCTTGACCTCAGGCTTTCAAATCGGGGAAAAAGTCTCATGAACGTGGCTCGAGAAAGTCTGTCTGTTCCAATTCAATGGCTGTCAAGCCCGGTTATCTGTTACGGTCATTACTAGCGGAAAGTATCCCAATCCCAGCAAGCTTTCGTCAGAGATCGCGATGAAGAAAAGATCCGGCGCATCGGAAATCATTAATCTCCTAATCGTAGTCCGATATTCGCCCGCCATAGTAGTCCTCAACTCAAAGACGCACTAGTCTCAAAGACGCGAAAATCCATTATTCCTTTCTAATTCTACATAGATCTCGATCTATAACTCGAATCCTAATAAACATGTCCTAATATATATACACTAGCTTCTATAGATCATAATCCAGCTTTCGGATATAAGCCTTAATGGCCTTATCGGCCTTTTTTATTGAATTTCCTCAGCCCGAGTAGCTCGCTTCAAAGCCTTCTCCGCCTTTTCTATAGCTGTTTCTTCCACCACAATTAGAGATTTACGTATTTGATCTACTGATATCCATCCTCCCTTCTAAGCAATCGTCTCTAAAAGTGTCTTATGTGCCCGCTTGACTACGGCCTCTTTATGGATGGCCTTAATGTCTCGCTCAGTAATTTGTCTCAAGTAGCTATTAGTAATAGATCCTTTTATAAACCGGGCTAATGGCTGCCGTATACTCTTTAAAATAATAAAAGCCTAAGTAGCAAGTAGTTCTTAAATCAATGATCGTATTTAATAACGTCTTTAGCTTTATAGAGAGTTCTAGCAAGTATGAGAGGTATAGACTATCTGAAGTTATAGCGCGAGGTGCCAGATTTCTAATTTTTCGAGTATTACTTCAGGGTTATAGGGTACGAAATCAGTCTTTCGAAAGGCTAAATATATGATACTAGGCGTAAAGATTTAGGTTCTTATTTAATTAAATGCTACGAGAAAGTCGAGCCTATCAAAGTCGCTACTTTCAAGGCGTATAGCCGAATCTATAGCCTTTATATAATAGTATTTAAATGGTTAAAAGCATCCCACATCTAATAACTATATAATGTGTATAGAATACGGGGAAGTATAAATAAGTCGATCTTCAATTATTAAGTAAATGTATGAAATTCGTAGATGTAATGAGATCCGAAGCCGTTTAGAATCAAGATCCTCTATTCTCTTACTTAACGACGATAAGAAAATATATTAAAATGCAATAGTCAATTATATGCTAGTCGGTTATTTGAATATTTAGTAGATAAAATAACTAATATAGTATTCAAAGGTAAGTCGTTTTACCTCATTTATATAGAATATAGATATCTTTAGAATTACGAATAAAGATATACTTAGTCTACGGCGCTAATATATTCACGAACGTAATATAATTACGATTATCTGGATCTACGAATTATAGAGGCTTACTTTTATCTAAAGTAATAATATAATAAACGATTCTATAGCCAATTCGAAAGCCAGTCTCATTTATATTTCAAATATCTTAATATTATATACCCTTCTCTTACAGCCTCGTAAAATTTCTCATACACTACGCGTATACTCTTAATATCATACATATTCTTACGCTCGATACTAAGAGATTTTTGCTTTCGTTTATAATATTTAAAATACCGTTTTATAAATTGTATAGCTTAATCTTTATCGAGTGGTTTAAAGAGATAATACAAATTTGAAGCGATTTTTAGAATATACTCAACAGCACCCTAAATATGATTTAGTCGAAGTGAATACTTAATATTATCTAGACGATTAATATAGTTATATAGCGACTATTCTTGAGTCGTAGTAAGACGTATATGGGTGGGTGTTCGAGTACTCCTAGAAGCTTGTCCCCGAAGCCGTCTTTACACCCGTCGCGGTTTGAGATTATAATGCTCTGCGGCCGCTAAGCGCTGCGAAAATAACCGTCCTTATACTTATCAATAGCCTTCTAAACGAGTTTCTCTTGCTCAGAATAAGATAAAGATATGGTGTGGTGGAATAATGGTGGATTACAATATAGGGTGTCAAATCGCGAAAAACGTCTTTGAGTCTAGTGCGTCTTTGAGTTGCGGACTACTATGAGCGGAGCGAATAGTCGGACTACGATTAGGTACTCCCCTACTCTCCCCTAACCTACTTTAACGTACTTGACTATTGGACACATGGCCCCCATCCTTCCTTTTCCTCAATCAATGCGCACAAATGACAAATAATAATAATGATCATATACTACTGATCGAAACAGCTATTTTCAGTTCAGATGATGATGACCTCACCAACTCTGTAAGGTCCACCAATAATCAACGTACTAAAACCATTCCCTCTCCCATCAGGCGAAATACGAGCTGCAAACGGCCCCATGAGGCGAATCCAAGCCACGATTCTGCACCGACGCCCGTAGGGAGATCCTCGGGCTTCTCGGGCTATTTAACAGAGTCGTGGTGCATTAACCACACGATGCGTTAAGTGTTGCATTATGCACCGGCAGGGGTACATTTTTGATTATTGGGGACCTGGAACCTGCGAGGTCGTACGGTAACGGTCCTTGTCAAAAATACGGCATGCGGCTAGCGGCTAGCTTTGTGGATGCAGGGTTATCCGCTCGCACACCCTCAGGGGGGGGTCGGTCATAGGTGATAGGGAGGGGGCTTGGCGGCGGGATATTTTTTGCCGATTTTTGCCGGGATGGTCAGGGGGACTTGAGCCTCGAGGGTGGGGAGAGTGCCTCGGAGCGTTTGACGCGCGCTGCTTTTATCGACGAGGACGACAAGGCGTCTTCGATATGTTAATGATCATGATCGTGATCACTGGCAATCAATCTCTGGAAGCAATAACATTTTACTTTGGTCCGAGTGGTCCGCCGTTGAAATAATAATTACAGGTAGTCGGGCTCAACGGCGATTGCAAATACCCAACTTACCCCACAGCAAAAATCATTTGCCGGACAACAGACTTTTCCGTGCTGCAGACTGCGCGCAATGCATGCCTGATGCATATGTCTCTGTGTTGCACATGCATCCCGACGAGCTTATGCACCGCAAACGCACGAGAAGCAACCGAGCTGCACCCTGGAACTCACGACTGCGTGTCGCATGCCGGGCGAGCTGGGCTACAGGGAGGTTTCCTTGCCTCTTCCCGGCAAAATATTTTATTTCACTCTGCAAGATAAGTAGATGTGAGGTCGAATCCAGGAGCTAAATAGAGGATGCCAGAATTTGGTATTTGCCATGAGTGTCATCATGACGGAGACCGCGCGGGAGGTCGACAGGTACGCCTCGTGGAACCGGGTCGGAAAACCTCCTCCACCTTTTGTGGAGACCCCGCTCACTTCGAGCGACCTCGCAATGCACCGCGTGCGTCTCCTGCGCGGCAGCCGCACTCTCCGGCCCCAGGTCGGATCCCATCGACTGCTACCCACCGTGATCCTGTGGATTAAAAACAGAATGCTTTCTGCAAGCTCTCCAATTTTTCTGCGCGACATACCTGCCCCCTGCATGCAAAGGAGCAATTCGAAAAGAGATAAGAAAAGAAAAAAAAACAACAAACAGGGTGAAAAACAGTAATTAGGGGCAAGCCATTATGAGCGATGGAGAACAAACACCATCATGGCAGCTACATGAAAGGAACAATGATGGAATATGCAGGAAGGATGTAGAAGGAACGCATGCATAGAACATGAAGGAACTAGACACGCTGACACTCCCGTCTAGTGACATCCAAAACCTCTATTCCAACGCCAAAATCATGTATCATCTAGTGTCCAGCGTCCTCCGAATCGCTGGTTTTTTTTTTGTGTTCACACTCCTCCTGACTCCCCCAGTCCAATGACATCCGTTTAGAATCCTCCGAATCGTTTGTCCTAGCTCTGGTAGGATGTATCGTATCCAGCCAAGTAAGACACATTGAACCCTTGTTTGGCCATTTCCCTTTTGT